GCTTGTGGATCTTTCTTAGCAAGGTACTCGGTTTGCAATGCATCATGAATGTATCTTCAGAAGAAGATCATGGCAGTGGCTTTCTCAGCTTCGCCAACTGGGTTGTCCGTCTCTTTTTCAATGGCGGGACACAAATTCTTTGTTGTGAGGTGGAACTTCACATCATAGACCCACTTAAGGTAGTTCCTTCCAGGGATCTCTAAAATGGTGAAGTCGAGTTTGTTCAAATTTGACATGTTTCTATCATAAAATAAATGGACAAGATGTGGCTAGTGCAATGGAGAAAAATCAATCCATTCACATAGGAGTATAACATTCAGGTTCTAATAGATATGTATTGGTTTAAATTTTCATGAAAAAAAATTTTTGGGTTTTCATGGGTGATGTTTTTAAGGAAAAGCTTCAGGTTTTCAAATAAGGCATGTTTCTTAGAAACTTCAGGTTTCGAAAAAATATGAACTTCAGGGGTTCATATGTTCCTGCAGACAAACACAAATATATATATATACACACACACACAAATATGCAACAAGAAAATATGTAAATAGATCTTTAGGTCTAGAATTATAATTGAATTAATTATTTGGACTTTGGACCCAAAATTAAAGTGTGGGTGAAAAATTATAAAACCTAAATTGGATAAAAAAAAAATAAACAATTAAGCTCGGGTGTCACATCCGGGCCCGGGGCGGATCACTTCCCGGGCCCGCTTCCACTATCGTAGCACGATATTGTCCGCTTTGGGCTTACCATTCCCTCACGGTTTTGTTTTTGGGAACTCACGAGCAACTTCCCAGAGGGTCACCCATCCTGGGAGTGCTCTAGCCCTCTTCTCACTTAACTTCGGAGTTCCTACGGAACTCGAAGCCAGTGAGCTCCCAAAATGCCTCGTGCTAGGTAGGATGGGAATATAAATTTAAGGATCAGCCCCCTGGGCGATGTGGGATGTCACAATCCACCCCCCTTAGGGGCCCGACGTCCTCGTCGGCACACACGCGGCCAGGGTAAGGCTCTGATACCAAATTGTCACATCCGGGCCCGGGGCGGATCACTTCTCGGGCCCGCTTCCACTACCGTAGCACGATATTGTCCACTTTGGGCTTACCATTCCCTCACGGTTTTGTTTTTGGGAACTCACGAGCAACTTCCCTCTACCACCGTAGCACGATATTGTCCGCTTTGGGCTTACCATTCCCTCACGGTTTTGTTTTTGGGAACTCACGAGCAACTTCCCAGAGGGTCACCCATCCTGGGAGTGCTCTAGCCCTCTTCTCGCTTAACTTCGGAGTTCCTACGGAACTCGAAGCCAGTGAGCTCCCAAAAGGCCTCGTGCTAGGTAGGATGGGAATATACATTTAAGGATCAGTCCCCTGGGCGATGTGGGATGTCACATCGGGGGCCCAAAAACATGGACCAAAGCCCACGTATGTGCTGAGAAAACAGAGACTGTGTGGCCCAGGCCCAAAAATTGGGCCGAGTTGGGCTCGGCTTGACTGTAGGCCCAAGACTAGAGAAGGGATTGAAGAAGCAGGCCCAATTTTCTGGGCTAGATCCAAGAAGGCCCGTATAGGGCATAGATCCACTGCTTCGCAGCGCAGGTGCTCTGGGTAACGTGATCTAGTGTGTCGCAGCACATGGGAACGTCATAACCTTAGTAGGCTGTGATCATATATGACGCAGTGCATATGAGAAGGCAGGAGCCCAGAAGTGCTCAACTAATTCTCGGGTTGGTGATATGGGTCAAGGCTATAAGCACAAATAACCCAATAGAAGGGTGTTATGCGATATGGACCAAAGGAAACCGAGGTCCGTTAGGGCTAGTGTTGGATTTTCAGGCCACCCTAGTGGCAGTGGGTGTGGAGATCCACTGAAGATAGTCAACAGCACCGCTTCAAGCGGTTTTCCGTGGTCGAGGTAATCCTTGGTTCATCAGAGAACCAAGATTTTAGCAACAGAGGTAAAGCCTCAACTTCATGGGTATGAAAACCTAAAGGATTCGAGTGAATCCCACAAAAACCTTGCGAAATTCTTTTGGAATTTCAAAGATCGTTGGTGAAAATGATGAGCTTCGTCCTAATCACACGATTGCCGATCGTGGTTTCGTCGAAAAACTCGACGGGGAAGACCTTGGCTTCAAACCAAGGGTTTAGGTTAGGGACGATGGTGCCTAAACGCACCATTTGGTTCTCTGGGCTTGCAGCCTTGTGACTCATGGTTGGGCTAGGCTCGCAAAGCCGACATAGGTTATTGGTTTGGTGCTAGCAGCTTGCACGGCGGCGCAGCATGAAGCCGACTATGTTACGGTTTCACGAAACCCTAATAATATATATATATATATATATTTTTCTTCTTCTGATTTCCAGATTAATTCAATGCATATTCAACATATATTTTAATGCATGAGCAGATATTTGATGCAATTCATGGCAATATCAATTCACATAATTCAACAATTATGGATATAACGCATACACAATTTATGTAGAATCTAAAATTTGAAAAACGTAAAGTTGGGTCATGCATTATGGTGAATGTTCGTGCTATCAGGGCTGCAAAAATATCAAGATAAAAGTTGTTGTTTGGGAAAAACCTGATTGCGTGATGATATTGATGAACTGGTTTGATGCACAAAACTTCCATGTTAGATTCCTCAATGCAGCGGTAGGAGTGTGCTGATAACATGTTGTGATCTATATTTAACTGATAGGGAGAGGGAACGGCACAAAGAAAATATAGAGAGAGATGTGTTCGTAGGGTTGTGTAAAGGATATGTTATTCACCTATGCAGTGCCTTTATTTATAGTAATAAGGGAATGGAGAATCATTTTCCTCCAAGGAATACAAGTCCTAATAGGGAAGAATAACTAGTATCAAATATAATCTAGGATTTACACAATCACACTTAAATACAAAGTTTATGACAATTATGTTTATTTTTTTTTATAAATGTATAACTGAGTGTTTATTTTTTTTCCTTTCTCAAAATGGGGACAACTGGTGGCAAGTAACATTTATTCACCCCTGTCGAGTCCGAAGAGACTATGGGGAATTTCACCATGCCCGTGACTCCATCAAGCAAACTCTCCAGCTTGGACCCTTGATGGGACCTCCCACATTTTCTTTGTTTATTGAGAAGCCGCAGTCCACACCCTTACTAATGGACCACATTTTCTTAGGTTATTTTTTAACTAAATTAAAAAATTTCATTTATGATTGAAGGACAAAAGAGGGCACGGGATTTTCACATGTAATGAATATAGTTTTGATCAAATCTCCATCAATTACTTTTGTCCCAACAATCACAAGGTGTCAACTAATTCACAAGGAATATTTGGGTTGACATCGTTGCATAAAAAATGTGATATAGTTTATTATTGGTTCGTCATGGTAATGTGACTGTTTTATTATTCTCGAGTTCAAATTTTATTTTTGTCAAAATTTGATATAGACAATATAGTTTATGTGGGACAAAAAAAAAAAAAAAAAAAAAAAAATCTCTAATTCAGTTCCTTTGAAAACGACAAAAAGAATATGATATTTCAATTGTATTGACTCGTTTTACCTAGGGTGTTGCTATTCATACATTATTTTTACTTTTCACATAATCCTTTTAAATTTTAACCCTCAAATTGAATGAATTGAAGATGATTAAAGAACAAAAATAATAAGGAGGTATAGAAGGTAGACATGGTGGTTAAGTAAGATGCATGCTCCTATTTCTTTTAGATGTGCATTTATGTCAATACTAGTCTTCTTTTTCTTTTTACAATAGAAAGAAACTGATTTGTTGAGCTAGTCTCATCCTAACTCATTTTCCAACCATTGGCACTATTTGAGTCAATCTTAATAACTTAAGGCACTTTTTGAGTCAATCTTAATGACTTAAGGCCAGTTTGGGATTGTTATGTCTTTTAAAAACCTCTTCTAATGTGCTTTAAGAATAATCAGTTGTAAAATAAAGCAGTTGAGTTTTAGATAAACTGTACTTTTAAAAGTGTTGTAAGTATGAAAAGTAGTGTAAAAACGTTTGGTGAATTTTAAGGTAAGTGATATGATTATTAATAATGACAAAAATGGATATAGTACTGCGAGTGTGGGTGGTGTTGACATAGTGGTGGCGGTAGTAGTGGTGGTAACAGTAGCAACAATGGTAGCGGTATGATGGTGGTGTCAGTAGTATGGTGTAATGGTTGAGGTGTAAAGGTAACAGTGGTGGCGATTGTGGTGATGGTGGCGGCGGCATTAGTGGCAATGATGGTGGTGGTCATGTTAGTAGTGTTGTAAGGCTAGTGGTGGTCATGTAAACGAACCTCCAAGTTGTTTTTCAGATTTAGTGTCTCGAGGTTATTGCTTTTAAAATGAGCAAAATATTTAGTTTTAACATACTTTTCATTGCTTAACTTTATAGTGAAGCAATTTCTAGTGAAAAGAATACCAATACCAAACGGGGCCTTAATTTATTTTGACATCGTTTGTAAAAAGAAGAAAAAAATTATCTACATTTTATTGGAAAGTGAAAGAAAAATAGTGTTCTTAATACATAAGTATGAAGGAAAATAAAGGAGAAGCAAACAAGTTCCATCTAGCATACCCTACAACACAAACTGCAATGTGAAGAAGAAATTTGGCATCTTATTACAAGTATTTCTTTTGTATAGTCCACATATTTATTTCTTCACCTTATTGGGCTGCCTATTGAGATTACATAAGGGAATTTCCTAGCCCAACCCAACAAACTCTGAGGTTGAACAAGAGGTCATAGATTAGCCCAACAGTCCCATTCAAGATCTTAATCAAGTCCAATACAAGATGAGCAGTTCATAACAAGGTTAATTACCAAAAAGAGAAAAAATTAAAAAAAAAAATATAACAATGATTTGATAGGAGTAAATCCATGAGTAAATCTTCGATAGGAGTGTCACATGATCGAGATGGTAGGAGTTAGACCGAATTAACAGAAAAATGAGGTTTGTGTGAGTGAGGTCAGAGACAAGCCAAAGTGATATTCAAAACTACTTTAATTTAAGGAAAAGGAAATTCAAACTTGAGTACAAGAGAGACGTACCCTAGCCAACAGGCAACCCACATCTGCCCTAGAAAGCAAAACTTCACCAAAAACACCCAAAAAGCTTTTGGCGTACAAGTCAGCACATAACCTCCTGTAAATAAGTGGGAAAAACCTTTTTCCTGTTTTTACACCTGCTTGGAAAATGAAAAATCAGATAATTGTCTGTCAATAACAAACAAATCAACAAAAATAGGAACATGCATCTACAGTCTCTTTCTCAACCTAACTGACTAATCTTTCCACGCTTCCTTGTTCAACCGTCGTGAGGCGAGGCCCTTGCCAGAGAGAATAGGAGTAATCGGCATCGAGAGTGTGTGGGGTGCCTCCTCATCATCCCAATTGTCGTCCCAGTTATTATCCCATCCATCGTTAACATGCAACACCCGGTTTTTTACATTGGAAATTGGCAGGTCCTTATCTAGTTTCTGATATTTCAACCCACTGCCAGAGACGCGCCTATTTCTAAAGCTGATGCACATCCAAGCCGATGCCAATATCATTGCTGAAGCAAAGAACAGAATTGCAATCGTAGGTTTTTGTTTTGGGAAGTTTGTGTAGGCAAAGTTTGAAGAATTCTCAGGCTCCTTCCTGGAACTGTTTGTGATTAGGTCCTTCAAATCAAGGTTGCATCGACCATTTCCAGCTTTTAGGACAATTGAACTGCCAGCCCCTCCGTTTCCAACAGAAACCAAAACCTGCAGAACCCAAATTATATAGATCAAAATCCACTTTTAGCATGGTGACAAGCATTACGCTTATAACATCCATAGAAAACCGCCTAGATTTTTTCAATGCAAAAACAAAACGACTTACATAATGCCAGTCATGTGTTCAAGCCAACTTGGCGAGGACTCTTGCTATCAATATAAGAAACAGGCTTTTGAATCAACTAATCTATTGTGTAGTGGGATTCTTATTGAAGTATTGCTTACTCGGTGAATCCGCAGTACTAATATTGCATGGGATTTCGTTACTACAAGGTACTTTTTGGATAGACATACTACCCACGTGGGGTATAGGTGTAAAGATTCAGCCAATTCATAGTAGCTGTACGCATCTGGAAAATTTGAGAACTTATGACACTCTATGTTTCAAAGGAACCAACTGTCCCGGCGGTAAAAAAAAAAATCTCATTTGCCAATTAGAATACAAGGACAAGCTGAATCTTCCATCAAGTCCTTCAAGCAGGGAAGCATTATCAACCAGGTGTGATGTGATGATGAATATTAACTTTAGGCTGCATTTTTGTTAGAGGAAACAAGAAACTGATTCTCTATAGCCCTAGGGATCCCCTTTCAGCCATTTTGCAAAAGCAATCGCACAATTTATTTATATAAGTATTAGACATCATAGTCTAAAGTAAAACAGGATGATATGAAGAATTTGCATCACAGTATAAATATACTAGCTTCGATTAAGAAATCATAAAAAAAAATAAAAATAAAAAAACATATTTTGTGATCGAACAACTCTTTAGTGTTCTTTACACTTACTTTTCTGTTTTCTTTCACTTCAAGTTGAATTTTTGTTTCGTCCAGTCGCACAAAATCAGGAGCTACAATGGCAACCAAGAGAGGGCCTTTGGCCATGTTCTTAATTAAAAGTGAAAGATGGTGAGAATCTGAAAAATGATGACCCACAATAAGTCAAGTATGATCAATGCAAAACATAACAAACTTAACTATAAAAAATACAATTAAAAAACTATATTTCAGTATGCTAAATGAATAATGATCTGAAAACACATAAAGAACAAACTCTAATATCCGAATATTTATTGCATGACAGAATTCTTAACCAGACTGATACTTCAGCTGAATGAGAACAATCCATTAGTCCAAGAAATAAGGAAAACACCGAGGATGGATGGTATAAACAAGAAATATGCATAGAACTGCCATGAATACAAAATGTAAAACATACCATTTCCGGGAACTTTCATACACGCAACCAACTGGTTGCCCTCATCAGTACACATATTAGATGTATCACATTCCTCACTCCGCGTCCCCTCCTTCCTTGTGGGGTTCACAGAGACCGTATTTGCACCATTATCCACCTCCTTAGGCACTTCCCTTGATTCCAACCCATCACTCTGCTTCTGTTTCTTGTCCTCGCCCTCTAATTTGGATCCCTCGCTCGACCCTCCACCACTCCTTGCCACATTATCAGATTCTTTCACACCCACTTCCTTACTTGGATTGCTCCTCTTATCCCCAATACCCTCCTTTGATCCAACCACCTGATCTCCTTCTTTCTTCACTTTTTGAACATCGTTAGCATTCGAAACCGAATTAGACCCAACAGTGTTATCAATGGAACCATTTGAATTATCCGATGTTAACGAACTTCTGCGGTCCAAATCAGTTTTCACACTGGATTCTACCTACATTCAAAACCTCTAACCAATAAATATAGACCACAAAACAATTAAATTCACTCCAACAATATAAGTTCTCATTATTTACCTTCGAATCAGCACCAGAGCAATGAACTACAATCTGCAACAATAAAATCCCAACCAACAGAACAAAATTCTTCTCCATAATCTGAGACAAACCTGTAAGAACAAGTTTGTAACTTCTTATCCGAGGAACATGAATTCATCCAATTGAATCACAACTTATAAGCCTTAAATTAAACACACTCAAGAACAAAATCTTTAAAACAAACCTGCATTATTCGATCCTGATGATGAAGCCATTGCAGCTTTTGTGCTCAAAACCTTCTCCTCTTTTGCAATAATAATAGCTCTTCCAATCAATAGGTCGTGGAACAAAATAAGCCAGTGATTGCAAGAGCAGTGGTTTAAGCTTTATATATAGTATTCCTCCGACTATTCCCTATCAGAATTAGACCAGGATTTAAACTATACAAACCATAAAGAATTATGAAACCTTATAGAGTTCCAACACTAAGCTCTTTTCCCAAACCAATTGAACTTGCTTACCCAGAAGAAGAAGAATATGGAGGTTCTCTGTGATTGTCTTGCATAAGCTTGATTGAAGGAATGGTTGCACAAGCTCTACGGCTTCTCATTGAGCAATGGTTGAGCTTGCATCAAAGATGAACATATTTTTCTTTGAGAATAAAAAATGGGTTTAAAGTTTGAACGGTGAAATGCTTGACGTCAACGAAGGTAATCAGAGCGGAGACTACAAAGTTTGAACGGTGAAAACTATTTGATAACCATTTTAATTTTATTTATTTTTTAATTTTACGTGAAGTAATTCTACACTAATTATGTTTGCTTAACTATTGTATCTGTTAAGAACATTTTTAATGGCAATGTCAAATCTTAATTTGATTGCTGGCGTGGTAATGTCAAATTTTCTGTTCCTCTGCCTTATATATTTTTTTGTTTTAAATGATTGGCCAATTGTCTTATCAACTTTAATTTTTGTGGCCGATTTCTCCCATAAGCACTCATAATTAATCAATTTCCACCGTGCCGTTAGTTTTCAAAATTCTTATCCAATTTTTCGTTAAGCATTCCACGAGCTATTCACATGATAACCTTTCAAAGGGCAATAATGTGAATTTCTCCATACATTCTTCTTCCTTTTCTCCACACCCAAGTTTTCTTCTCCGTTTAACCAATTGACCTCTCAAACCAGCATTTTTGTATGTTTCTTCTTTGTTTGACCCTTCAAAAGTATTTCTCTATGTTTCTCATCCCATTTCCAAACCCATAATTCAGTTTATGTTCTTCAGTCAAAGGCGTGGATAGGGTCGGCATGTTGAAGTTCTAGTTGCCGCAGGAGGCGGAGTAGAGAGAAGAACGAGCTTGCCGCCAGAGTTGTCTGTGTTGATGGGGTGGGGGATGTTTAGTTGACGACCATGACCGTGACGACGCAACCATAGCCCCATTCAGGTAGGAGTTTTACCTGGTTGCGGAGATGAGTCGGGCCGAATCGATATCCGGGACCTCTTCCGTCAAGACGTCTTCTTTAATCCCTTCTGTCTCTTTAGCTCTTCCATTCTTCATTTGGGGCCTTTTAGAGGTTGTCAAGTTTCCCACTTTTGTGATTTTCTTCACAAAAATCCAATCTTTTTCTTTCAATTTCGATATCCATTTCTTAAACTCAAACGAGGTGTTGAATTTGTGGATCGCACGTGGGTGGAGAAAAGGAAGGAGAAGGTAGGGAGAAAATAATTTTCTTTTGTGATCACGTGGATAGCGCGTGACATATGAATAGGAATAATGGATGGAAATTAAGAAAATTTTACAACGGGATGGAAATCGACTAATTATGAGAGCTAAAGGGGAATATTGGCCAAAATTAAATTGTAGGGGAAAATTAGCCAATTTTTACAAGTTCGGGAGGTAAATCAACAAATACCTCTAAATGATATTTGTAAGATGCATTTTTAAAGAGAAATCATTTAAAACAAAATTTCAAGATCTATAATTGGTACATTAAGGGGATAAACACAATAAAATAATTAAAAATTATTTGACAACATATTTTCTCATATGTCAAATTTGGCAGTAGAAAATTTATATGTCAATCCACATAGAATTGGCATATTGGTTGAAACTTCTTTCTACCTTCAAATTTAATTGTATGACATTCAACTTAGGATGACATCTCTTTTGAAGATTGTCGAAGCAGTTTAAATCTAGTTACATGAAGGTTTATTGAGTCATAAAGCAACGACATTGGAACTCTCAAAGGCAAGAGTTCCCACATGGCTCCAAGATTTGCAGATAAAACCGAGAAAGTAGCAGCCGCTAGTGATGTTGCTAATTTGCTTAATTAATTCTACGAAGATTTAGGTTGCAGAAGAAGTGATAATAATATGATGGAGGACATATTTTATAGAGAACGGCAGAGAGAAGGGAGGAGAGAAGAATGGGAGAGAATGAAGAGAGAATGTAGAAAAAGCCATGTTAGAAGAGAGTAAACAAGGACAAGAAAGGTGAGGAGATAAGGAAAAGAATGGAGCGAAGAGAAAAGAGTAAAATAGTTATTTTCTAACTAGTCTAAACCTATGTAGCATGTTTTATTGATCTATGCATTATTATACATATTTCATTGATTATGTTCAAAAAAAAAATTTATTATTGATAAATGGCTAATTAAAGATTTTTTATTGACTTTTTACGCCATATGATGTGATATATGATGTATTCAAGAGGAAAACTTCAATATTCAATGAGAGAACTTCAATAAAACACTAATTGATATGGCAGTTGGAAAAAAAAAACACTAATTAATATGGTCATGATAATCACTTGTTACATCATACGGTATAATTTAGTATGAATAGAATTATTCTATTATTTATGTTCGTCATAGATGAGAAATACATCTAGAGTAAGAGTGAATGAGGAAGAGTTGATGCAACATGATAAGAAATACGTAGAAGGTTTAAGATTACTGTGAAATTCTGAAATTATGAGAGCGTAAGCACCAAATTCTAATTAATGTCTTTCCCTATGAACATTTAGGTTTTTTTCGTTTAGAAATTTAAACAAAGAAACTAGTGTATATAAACTCAAAATCTAAATTTTAAATTTGTTTTCTTTGTACAGAGGAATAGTAAGGTGCTCTTTAAATACAATCTTAGATTCTCACAAAACAACATGCTTATTAACCTCATTGTTGGGGAAGGAGCAAGACAATTTGCATATGTGCTCTACTAGTAACACATCTTGTTTCTGTTTACAAATTTATTATTATTAACTCATATACTAATTCTTCTTGACTTTGAATGCAAGTAACAACTCTCCCGTAAGTGAGTGAAATTTTTTTCGATGAAGGATCATGCATGCGCTACAACGTGACAAAGAATTGAAAGATACAATCCCTTAGTTTTCCATCTCGCCCTCAACGTGAGGAACTTATGTCACACCATTTTCGTTGGATTGTCGTCCTAAGTTTTTTAGAAAGAGTAACGGGGTGGTGCTTGAGACTGCTCAGCCGCTGGAATATGAGCGAATTCTTCGAAAATTGAATGGGATCTCAATTACTACCACACGAAAATCGTCCTCTCATTACTTAATTATCACCAACTTTTTTTGGATTTGGGGAGTTCACAACATTTTTCGGGTCCCCCAAATGATGGTTGCTGCCCTCGCCGAGATACGGGCCAATAAAAATGCTCCAAAAAAGCAGCGGCGTCAAATTCATATGGAGTTGAAGAAGATACGAGTGTCCAATAATTTATTTCATCCAAAAAATTCTTCATATATACATATAGTTTAACTTTTAATATGAAGTTCGATCTTCGGGTGGAACCCTGAACCCTAACAACTTTATTTTTTTTATTTTTTTATGTTACATTAAAACGGAATCGAATTTTGACTTGGTTTATTTTATTTAACTCACTTGTCATCATCACTTGAACTAACATCAAAAGACTTAAACCTAAATATTAGCCTTCATCATCTTAATTCTATTTTTTTACGTAGATCAAATAGTAGAATGAATTGAAAATCAAGTTAAAAAGTGCAAATCGGACAACAAAAATAAAGCTTTATAGACTTAGGCTCCAATGATTGATTTGGGTCGATTACTCGTTATTTCAAAGAGAATGGCGATGTGTATCGAACTTACCAAGTTTTCACGATGTATGAGAATTTTCAGCTAATATCCATTGTTTATAGTGTTTTTATTACGGTTTTAAGTTTTAAGGATGTTTCAATATTTTGTTATTTGATTAACTTTAATCCTTTTGGACTCCTAGGGTTTGACTATGAATACTTTCTGGTTGGACTCCTTTAGGCATTATGTTTGTTATCTTATCAATCCTTCAATAAGCTTTGAGGTTTTGTCATACTTTCTGGAAGGATCTAGTTTTCTTATTTAAGATTATCGTTGAATAATCTTCTGTCACAACGTGTCAAGTGGTATCAGAGCAATATTCTCAATAGCCAATAATGGTGGTTGTGATTAGAACCCTACCGACGATGGCCGTAAGGTTGAACATGTTACCCAATCAGATTTCAATGCTCTTGTTGCTCAGGTTTCTCAACTTGCCTAAACGTTGACAACCTAGTTGATGGTTTACATTCATATCGTCATTATGATGACTAGCCAGTCCGTGGCACATGGAGCACCCGAGCCTAGGCATGTTCAAGAGGGTAGTGAAGGAGATTCGAAGGAGGAATTTGCAGAGCCTGAACGAGTTCAATCAAACAACCAAAATAACAGTAACAATCGTAACAACATTGATGAGCACTTTTTCGACATGCCCCTATTCCAGTAGTGACTTATTGTTGACCTTAAAAACTAATTAGCCTACATAGCGCATATGCCGAATAGCTAATGAGTTAACTGCGTCCTTTACTGAATGCATGTATGCCAACTCGTTGACCGAGCTTGGTTGATGAGTAGAATGAAGTGATGGTGTCGAATGTGCTGTTAACTTCTATATATAAGTGATCACGGCCAAAGAAGGAATACGTCTCCGCCTCTGAGTTATAGAGTCTGAAGACAAAGCTGCCAGTCACTATGAAGTTCAAATAAGGTTCGGCTTTCAATGTGTTGAACACTGAGTAACTAGGAACACCTCACTTCGCCAAGAAGGCTAACGAGATGACCTCTTTCAACAAGGACTCAAGGACTCCTTGTCGGTAGAGACTTGGATATATAGCCAGTTGAACTTGAAGCAGTGCTATTACTATAAACTGAAGGAACTGAAGGTGCTTCTTCGTCGCCTGACTCTACGGCTCCAATGCTATTAATCCAAACTAAAGATGTTGTCGATTGTCAACACAGTGTTGTTAATCCAAATTGAAAGTGTGTTGATGAAGTTAGAGAAGTTAGTGTTTTCTCAAAGGTTTGAGAGCATTTCGCATAGAGCGAGAATTTGCGCAGGATAGTTTTGTGTGTTGAGTTGAAGGTCCGTTGAATGTTGCAAAACCTCTTTTATTTATAGGAGTGATTTTTCGTGCTAATCACTTCATGCCGAAGTAGAGTCCCACATGGATTGTACCTTTTCGGCTTTCCTTGATCCAATATCAAACCATCCTCAAGACTTGGCCACTCCAACTGGATCTAGGACTCTAAATCTAGTCCCTTTTTTGTATCCGATTCACTCATGATCTTGATCAACCATGAACCTTGATTCTTGGAATATTACGAAACCTATCAATGTTCATCCTGATCCTTCAAACAGTTTCACTCACATTAGA